CGTTAAGTTTCTCGTTAAGTTTCTCTGATCACGAGGCGAAGAAATGATGAGACACCAGGATGTTAGATCATTTGATCAATCGTTTCTTAGAGGTGGAATGCGGATGTATTTAACCAGCGGATATATTTTCTTGTGAATCTTTCATGAAATAGATTTAAATAAAACAACTAATGTATAGCCTACATATAGAACAAGGCCATGTCATGTAAGCTAACCAATCATACCTGCAGATTCCACATTTCACACAATGATAGGGATTATCATCTTTGCCAGTTAAATGTTTGCACAATCCACAGTAATACGCGGAAAATTTTGCACCACAATCGCAGCAAGAATCACCAAACTAAATAATAGAAATAATTCATATAGAGATTCAAATTTATTGTCTATATTAATCACCAACATATTATATAACAACTGTGATTGACCTGTTCGCACAAATGTTTGATTAAACTTAAAACTACGATAGAACTATACGACATAAAACACCCAATAGAAAACCTAATCACAAGAATGAAATCAGGGCAAATACAGACGCTTAGCTTAGACAGTATTTTCACAGCATGAATTTTGAGCTACCTGTTGGACTTTGTTACAATATACACACTTCAACATCTGCGTGTCACGGGATTTAAGTTTCTTTCGTCCACACGTGCTTTGGTTGTTATGACAACGATGACACGGCCAAAAGCTGTTGCAACATTCAAATTTGACGTAACAATGTCGTTTGTAATGGCTGCATAACCAATTATCTTCTCTGTCTAGGTACTGGTTACGAGAACCGCCGGGGGACTGGGAATTAGAAATGCTGCTTCGTTCTGCTTCTGGACGCTGAAATTTGGAATGTTTTAAACCATTACTTCCGACTGCCTGAGTGTTTCGTGGGTTGTTTGTCACTGATGGATTTGTTCTTGTCATAGAATTTCCTGCCATTGTTCTTCTTTCGTCTGTTTTTCAAACGATACAAATACACTCTTTCAAACTGTCATTTAACTGTTATTGTTCATTTCTAAGTATTATTGTCGGTGACGTCTCGTCTTGACTCAAGACATCATCAGACTAACAGTAAAATTACAATGAAAAAAATTATGAATAAATTTACGTTACCATATTACAAAGTTAATAATTACAGACACAGGAACGCAAATGAATGATGCCTTGGATTACTAGTCTTTATGCAGTCAGGTGTCATTGTAGGCCGAAACATTAACTGCACTATAGGACTCGTTTTTGTGATTCAGATATTAGGCTTTAATTCATATCACGTACACGAAAACGAAACTCTCTAGGCAAAGTACATTCCGCAATGGTGGTTTTCTTTAGAACACTGCGTCTTTTGTACAGTATGCATATGCATCTATTTCCTTAAAGGTTATGCTATGAAAGTTTTTACTACTTGTGTAAGATCAGAATTTGGATATCTAGGACTAAAGACACAATGGGATTTTACAAGGATCCAGCATTAATTGCGAAACGAAATTTGGTTGCGCAAAGATCAAAATACAATAGACGCATGAACATTGGGAGTTCAGATATTCACAGTACATGAAATAACTCCCCTTGTGTTTTTCACTCTTAGAAAAAGAGATCGTCCGGTTTTAAATTCGAATCTTTAAAGGAGAAGCTTAATTAAATCATATAGTCAATATGATTGCTATATGTTCGCTTACTTAAATGACATGTACAGTATACTCAATTTCTAAAATCACGCCTGTCAAAAATATCAAGAAACGCTTACTTGTAAGACTAGAACCATCAACAATAGGAGTAAATCCAGTTGTAGCAGGTTTAAGGTTTTGCTGCTCAGAGGCGGTGGATTGGTTTTCGTTTGGAGACCTAGGGAAGCGTGCTGGATTGGTTGTATCTGACAAATTTCGGAAAGCTGGCGGCTGTTTTTGTTCAGGGAGAGATCTTTGTGGTCCATTTCCGTTTCCTGGTTTGCTTAAAGTTGCTGAATTTCTACCTGGACTTGTTACTAATGTACCGCTAGCAGCAGGATTGACTAAAGATTGACGACCAGTGTTCATTGCATTGAACATACTTTGATACATTGTAGTGGAGCGACACTGGGAGGTTTGGGCTGCATTTGCTGCTTGTTGTTTAGGTGGTGAAGTTTGGCGAAGTTTACTATAATCACCAAGAAGAAATGCGTCGATAATATACACAAGATCAATTCTGACAATGGATTCGAAGAAATGAGAAAGTTGACTTAAATCTGAAGCATTGATAACTGCTTTTTGATCAAGTTGAAAGAAAACATCAGTAGCATTTTGTGGGTCGTTGATTGAGAAATTCTGGCTTGCCCAGTTCTTCAGCTTTGCGACGTCGCAGGAAAGAAGTCTTTGACCCAGGGATAGTAACAGGAGCTTGTAGTTGTTGTACAAGGATGTTGCCACTGATGTAGGTGGTACATTACCAAGGGATATGTTCTCTGCTCCAGAATCGTCTTGTTGGACGGAGAGAGATAAATTTTCATAGCTTTGGCGGGATGTCGATGCTAAATCACTGGCTCTCTGGACTTTTCCAGATTGATATATTCGCTCTCCGCCACTTGTTTTATCCCTCGATGTATTACTCGATGTGTTTTGTGTTGATGGAGTTTGATTTTCGTTGCTATCCTTGAAGGTTGATACTTTAGTACTTAGTCGATCTCCCCTTTGAATTTCGCTTTCGCCTTTGTCACTTGTGACCACGTTTTCTTTTCCAGGTTGATGATTACTTCGTTGCAACAAGGCCTCTGCCCCCTCGACAGGTTGTTCAGTTGAAGCAGGTGGATAGATAACTGATGGTGTATCAGTGTTTTCATTTGTGGTTTGAGTTTTTAGAGAGCCATTCATATTTCTAGAGCCATTCATATCTTCAACTGATCTGGGTTTATTGGTAGGCAAAGTAGTAGCTTCGGACGATGGAGAATGATATATTTCCTGAAAGAGTTCAAATCTTCTTTCTTCGTTCTCCTTTGCACTTTTCTGAACAGCCATTTTCCCAAACTCAGCCAAAATATCTTCGCATGTAGCTTGTAATGATTTTATTTCATTCTTAAGAAAAACGTTTTCTTCATTCAATTCCTTCAGTCTAAGAGATAGGATCGGAGCTGGTGGCTCCCGCAATCGGGTGAAACTTCTTGATTTGAGCGCGTTGACACCAACGTCGTTGTCCAGTTTTTCATTTCCAGACTTGGAATTTTGCTGGTAAAGATAGTCAGATTTCTTACTTTCGTCATTGGAATCCTGGGAATATTTATTAGCTAAGAATGTAGGTAAAATGTCTACAAAATTCTCAATTTTGAAACGTTTGAACTGTTTTTCGTAAAACCCAGAAATACCTTTGGGATCATAATCACTTAGGTTGGGTTCAATTCCCACGTCCATTTCTTCTAACTCGTTGACTAAGTAATAAGCGTACAGAAACGAACCCTCGCACTTCGAAGTAAGCGAACTTACATTACCTTCACTTAGGTTGGGCAAACAATGCAAAATGAAATACTTTAAGTCGAGAGTGTGATGGTGGTCGTCAGGAAGAATTTCAACGAGATTTGGATGTTGACATTTCGTCTGTACTTGCAGCTCTGGTCTACTCGTAATGAATATCTTTATCCATTTTGGTAATTCAGGAAATTCGTCTGATATGAACTCCAAAAATTCACTTTTGACATCAGTTTCACTCTCGTCCAAAGCATCCACAACGATCAGTATTGGCTCACGCTTGACAAGGGCATGCAATGGATCATTTAAAAGAACGCGAAATGCGTCTGATAGCGAATCTTGAGAATGTTTATGACGAAGAACTTCAGTCAGTTTATCACGAAATCCATCAACGTTATCGCACATTTGACTGGCAAGAGACTGGAGAATTCTGTGAGGATTTCTTGAATCAGCATTTCTAAAGTCACAAAAATGGCATCCAGCTAGTTGGCCACGTTGTTTAAACACCTCACAAACCTTCGCCGACAAAACACTTTTCCCAACGCCAGGACCTGCAGTCAGGGTCATAACTCTGGATTCTTCATCATCAAACCAACTGGACAGATAATCAAATAACCATTTTCTAGTGCCATCTTGAAATTTTTTACAATGGCGATCAATCTTTCCAGTGAAGTCAAACTTGGCTAGTTGGTCGACTTGTGACGGTACCACATTTTCAACTGTCCTTCGTAATTCGAGAAGTTCATTTTCGACATTGAGGTCTTTTGACAAAAGACTGTCCTCTAGTTCTTTCCATTCCTTTAATTTTTCAGTATAACTTTCTTCTTCGGGACTGAGAGGAGATTCCTTTAATTCGTCAATACGCTGTTGAGGAATTCCTAACTTAATCAAAGGTGCTGAAATTTCTTTCCACAATCTGTCAAATTCTATATCGTCCATATGAGGACTTGGTATATGACCATAGATCTCATTTCTAAATATTTCTATTCTCGTAATATTTGCAGATATAGAGGAACGCAGTCCACAAATATTTCGGTGCAGGATTGTCAATAAAGTGATATCAAAGCTGTTTGAATCTGGTGTACCCGAAATTGGAAAGAGTAACTCCCATTGTGATGGTTTAATTACACTGTATCTTATCTTCTTCAATGTCGTTTTGTTGGCATTTAATACAGCAGCTAAAGTGGAAGGTGGATGTTTTTCATGTAAAGCACGTCTTAACGCATCGCCTCCTTTGTCTATCAAAAGTTGACAAATTCTTGAAAAATTAGCTTTGGCTTTTACTGGATCCATCACTGTCTTGATCAATTCTAAACAATAAAATATTCACATAATAATTAAATTACACCGACTAGAATTTAGCATAGCAGGAATGTGTGACCGCCAAACCAAGACAAGCATTATTGCCCACAGGAGGCCAAAACCCGAGGAGGCATATATAGATGTCCCCGCGCGTATATGTATGTGCATATGTTCGTATAAGGTTTTGTGTTGGAAACAATCTGAGTTTTCTCAGTCTAAGACCGCAAATGATCTCTGGTAAATACCGCAAGTAGAATCGGTAATGAAGAGGAAATGACGGGGTTTTAACAGAATTTCAAAGGAAATTAGCAATATGCAAACGCTGATACACGTGTGAACAGCGAACATATAAAATGCAGCCACATCTCTGGTGTTTGTCAGTTCACTCAGTTGGTTTAAAAGCTACGAAGGTTGGAAGAAGACACATAGGGGCGCAGGAACCGGGGGAGGGCACAGGGGGCACGTGCCCCCCCCCATTCCCCCCCCCCTCATTTTTTCAAAGGACCAAAAGTGTCCCTCTTTTGTGATGAAAAGTGCCCTTTTTGTACAAGCTAATGTCTCTGTAAATACTAAATTAACATCAAAGGTGCCCTTTTTGTTTGGAAATTTCGATGTTTTTAAAAAATTTGATCAAAAACGTGCAATTTCGTTTTTTATCCCCCCCCCCAGTCGCCAATATTTCCGGGAAAATTGTTTTCAGGTGCCCTTTTCAATATCCAAAGTGCCCCTGGAAGCCGATACCCCCCCCCCCAATCTTTTGATACTTCCTACGCCCCTGAAGACACATATTGCAGCGGTTCGTCAAACGGAGGCAGATCTAGTGGCAACTATTACTAGTTTATACACGATGTGAATTTTGAGTTTTGAGATTGATTTTTTTATATTCTGCCTCTTGTCTTTGAAAAGATGAAAATGAATGCCAAAAGCTTACTAATAAAGATGATCCCATAAAAAAGTCAGCAAAAGACTTTTTAAATGATATTAAAATACTCATTAATAATTCATAAACCTTGTGCCAAATCATGTCGCCATAATATGCATGTCACGTGGAGTGACTTTATATCTGATAAAACTCATGTTCGTTAGTATTCTTTATATAAGTGTTCATCCTAATTAGTATTTTAGGCTATTCAAATCACTCGTTGTCGTTCATGTTTCGCTCGCTACTCTGGTTTAAATAAATTATTACAAAACCCAGTCGAATTGTAATCAAGACCCAACGTTTCGACTCTCCAGTCTAGTGTCTTCATCAGAGGTGATCTAAAGTTACAATCGTGGCTTCTTAAATACCCAAGGGATGACGTCACCTTCCAATGAGATGCATGTATTCCTCTGCCAAATAGGCACCGTCATCCCTATTCAAAGCATGATTACTCATATTTATATGCCACGCTTCTAGGCAAAGTCTTTGACCATAGCGATTGTTTGTGGTAATTACTTCAGAGTTTTCCCACGCAATCTCGTGTTTGGGGTAACATACATGTTCTGCTAATATATATATATATATATATATATATATATATATATATATATATATATATATATATATATATATATATATATATATATATATATATATATATATATATATATATACATACATACATACATACATACATACTTTATTGTGTTCCCTAAATAGGGATTTTCAACACTGATTTACAAAAAATAAATGTTGTTCTATTTACAAGTTTTAGAATCTAGAATTTAAATTAAGGTAAAAAGGTAAGACATTTGTATAAAGTTTAACAAGGTAAAATTATCTACTTATATATTTGTTCTAGCATGTTTCGCTTCAGTTCGTTTTTGAAAGTTTTTAGGGAGTCTAACTTTTTGTACTTTATGTCCAAATCATTCCAGAGTGTAACGCCTCTATAATGAAAGGACCTTTGACCTGCAGAAGTTTTGTACAATGGTATTTGCAGTGAGTCATGGCTACGTGTATCTCGTTGATGAATGTCAGAACGTTTTGTGAATAAATCGCTCAAATAATGTGGAGCAAGTTCATTGACACATTTGTACCTCATAATAGCCTCTCTTAGTAGTAATTGTTCCTTTACTGGGAGCCAGTTAAGTTCGCGTAAGCCCGGCGAAATATGGTCGAACTTTCCAATATTTGTTATTATCCTGCATGCAAAATTTTGTACCAACTGTAGTTCCTT